ATCAGCCCTGCTTTGTACGCCTCATTAATGGCCACCTGTTTGAAGAAAACAATTAAAACAAACGCTCTTCATCCACGGACTGTTCGTCACACATCCATCCATACATTACCTGTAGGTTTGATGACTCATTGTAAAACTCCCCTCTAATGTAGATGTACGCGGCACGAGCTCCCATGCCTCTCCCAGCCACCAGACACCCCTCTATAAGCTTATGGGGGTCATGACGCATTATCTCGCGGTCTTTACATGTCCCAGGCTCCCCCTCGTCAGCATTCACCACCAGATACTTTGGCCTACCACATAGCAAACGCGGAAAGTCACAGACACGCCAACAGATTATTTATTCATGAAACCTTAGCATCATTCGCAGATTGTTTGTTCCCTCTTGCTCCTACCTGCCATCGCTGGGTTTGTTCATGAAACTCCACTTCATGCCTGTCGGAAATCCTGCTCCTCCTCTGCCACGAAGCCCCGAGATTTTCACCTCATTCAGGATCCAGTCCTGTCCCTTCAGTATGATCTCCTTGGTCTTATACCAATCTCCTCTTTTTAGCGCTCCTTTGAGTCTGGGAGAAAAAACGGAAGAGAAGAGCAACAGAGAGAGATAAGGTGTTTCTACAGGTCATTAGAGAGTAATGAAGGTGGTTTTACTTCAAATACTTTTACCTCCAGTCATGTCGGCCATATAAGTTAGTAAATATCCGATCTTGGTCACTCAAAGGACCAAATATGGTCTTTTTTGGCTTCACCTGCTGGAAATAAGAAAAGTTGGGGGGAAAAAAAGGAAAAGGTGTGGCTGAAAAAAGCTGTCAGTCTTTCTGGGTTTGGACATCTGCTGCCTTAAACAACCTGTAATGTTCTACTTCTGAGATTAATGCTGAGGTGATTTGGCGCCATATCAACAAATTAAAATGCCAAACAATACAACTTTTGTGAAGCTTAACATAAGACTACTACTGAATTAAACCCAGGAGTACTTTATAGGACTTTTTAAAATTGCACAACACGCATTCATCTTTGTCTTTTACTGTAAAATCTACAGTAATATTGGGGAGGGGGGATACACGTTTAAAGACCACAAGTTGCTCTAAAAATCTTAGTGGAACGATCCGGATAATCTTATTTCACTCACAAACGTGCCACTTTCTTCTCTGTGCTGTGTATTGATGTGTGACCGCAGGCCTACATACCTGTGGCTGCGCAGCAGTGCTGTAGGTGAGTCGTGGAGCAACCTGACGCGCCACAGCGCCCCACAGCATCCGCGGAGGCAGCATCCTGCAGGGGGCCCAAGACACCCACCCCCAGCTCACTTTTAAAATGCTTTAAACTCCAAAGCTGCTTCTCCCAGGGTCTACGTTTTCTTAGAAGATCGAGTCGACTTTTAAACCCCGGCTGCCGAAGGAGCTGCAGCCTACGCCTGCTGGTTCAGCTTAATTAAACTAAGAGGATTAGAGACCACGTCACGTCCTGCTCGCGGAAGGTACCCGTTAGGCTGTGTTATGCACGCGCACGCACGCACACAGAAACAATTATTGGGTCACCCAAAAACTATATGCTCACTAATATGGAAATTGTCATGCCAGCTGATCAGTGGCCATGAGTACTATTCACAGAGAGTCACTTAGAAAAGTGACGAAACGTTTTTCCCCACTGAAAACATTAATTCCAGATGAACAGAATCAACTTTTTGGGATTTCCTTACCTGGCTGATTGAGCGTGCATCGAGACAATTATTGGGTCAGTATCAAAGCCACATCATATCATTTTTATTAAGGGATTTTGTGCACAGTTTACAAGGTTATGTACGAATTATTAATCTGAAAGTAAACATGGCCTCCTGGCATGGTGGTGGGGGGCACCGATTTATTTATACCATCCGTGAGGCCTGCTTTGCCACTTGGGTTGGCATTTCACTTGTCTTGGTATTTTGTGTGCTGGTTGACTGGAAAAGTTTACTGAAACACTTGAGGTGTTATTTCCTTTTAATCTTCTGTGAAAATGCTCCATAGATGATTGAACTTGAACTCGAAACACACAAATGTTACTCACTTTAAGTGCAGCCGAGTTCCACGGTGAGACAGAGCCAGAACAAAATTAGGACCATGAACGCAAACCAGCCACGGTTTATTTTATTATTCACACCTGTGCCTTTCATAGGTCAGAATGACTTCCATGTTAAAGACCTGTTCACTTTTTCCCCCCACACCATTTCCAGCTCAATCACTTAAACTAAGAAATAATGGGCTTAAAGTGTTGCGTGCGAGTTTATTTCCCCTGGGTTAGAGTTAGGGGGCAGAAAAAGTGAGCTCAAGTTCAACCTCCATTATGATCCAAAGAAATCATTCAAGCACACAGTCATGGCCACTTTGTTAGGTACATCTGCACAACTGCTCGTTAACACAAATATCTAGTCAACCAATCACAGTGCAACAACCATACTAGGAAAACTGAGCAAACCATTGTTGATGGTGCCAGACTGAATATTTGAGAAGCTGCTGATCTGCTGGGATTTTCCCCAACAATCACTTCTTCAGTTTATGAAGAATGATCAGAAAAGAAGAAAATATCCAGCGAGAGGCAGTTCTCTGGAGATTGGCCAGACTGCTTCCAGCCAATACGAAGGCAACATCAACTCAAATAACCACTCGTTACAGCAAAGGAACGCAGAAGCAACACAATTAACTTTGAAGAAAATCGGGGTAAAGCAACAGAAGACCACACTGGGTGCCTCTCTTGTCAGCTAAGAACAGGAAACTAAAGCTACAATTCACACTGATAAGACAAAATTGAACAAGATGAGCAACTGATAAATGTGCAGCAACTATGTAATGGTATAGTGTCAGTATTGAATATGGAGTGTTCCAGTTGTGAATTCAAGAATCAAGACAGTTCTGAAGGTAAAAGGGGGCCCAGCTCAATACTAACAAGGTTTACTTATTAAAGTGGACAGTGAATGTAACAGCCAAGCAAGTAAACATGAGAAATATTTAAAACAAAATATTATGGTAAATGGCCTGTATTTTTATAGCGCTTTACTTAGTCCCTAAGGACCCCAAAGTGCTTTACACTACAATCAGTCATTCACCCATTCACACACACACTCACACACTGGTGATGGCAAGCTACATTGTAGCCAAATCTGCCCTGGGGCGCACTGACAGAGGCGATATTAAAGTAACAATAGCATAAATAATCAATTCGATTCTATAAAATCCAAACAAAACAAAAAGAATCACTAAATAATCTGTCTGGAATCGGGACAAACGAATATTTGAAACAATTACTCTTTAATCTGTCAGCATAACGATGAACTTTGTAAACAAACAGTGATCGCTGACTGAAAACACAGTGCCAGCTCAGTCTATACATTCCTGTCAACTAGCTCAGGCACGCTTCATTTCCCATCACTTTTCACCTTTTCTGACAATGCCATTGAAAGCATAACTGACACCTCAGTGAGGTGATATTTCACCAAGATTAGCTCATATTACAGATCACTTACTGGCACTTAACAAGAAATGTCAGCACAAGAATGTTAAAAATAACAGCAGCACTTTTTTTCTGCCCACACAGCTCAGTCACAACTATTTAATTATTAAATGTTGGGGGGTCCTTTTAGTTTAAGTTTAAATTCACTAGTATTACAGATATAGTGCGTTATACTATTTCTCAACTCTCCGTGGATTTTGACATCGGACTTAGAAAATTGCCTATGTGCTAGTTTTTAAACCCCAGAGAAGAGGGACAGATGGAGGGCAGTTAGAGAATCAGGAAGTGCAGCGGAATTTGTAAGGAGGAAGTGAGAGCAGCTATGAAGAGGATGAAGAGTGAAAAGATGGCTGGTCCTACTGACATACAGTACCTGTAGAGATATGGAGATGCTGGTAGCAGCAGACTTTTTAATGAGTTTGACATAATCTTGGACAGTTGGAGGATGCCTGACGAGTAGAGAAGAAATGTACTGCTACCGATCTTTAAGAACTGGGGTGATGTGGAGAGTTGTCGTAATTACAGAAGAATAAAGTTGATGAGCCGTAGCATGAAACTATGAGTTATTCAAGCTAGGTTAAAGAGCAAGGGTGATGATCAGCGAGCAGCAGTATGGCTTTGTTCCAAGAAAGAGCACTGCTGTTTGCTTTGACAGTGTTGATGCAGAAGCATAGAGAAAGTCAGGAGCTGCACCGTGTCTTTGTGGATCTTGTTTGCAGTGGTGATGGACAGGTTGATAAGGTCAGGCAGGAGTCTCTGTGGACTATGATGTTTGCAGATGACATTGTAAACTATAGGGAGAGTAGGGAGCAGGTGTAGGAGATCCCAGAGAGGTGGAGTTATGCTCTGGAGAGAAGATGAATTAAAATCAGTACAAACGAGATAGAATACATGTGTGAATGAGAGGTGGAAGGTGAACATGTGAGGAATAGAGGTAGTGAAGGTGGATGAGTTTATATACCTCTGGTTAGCCATCAAAAAGCAAGCAGTGCACAAGAGAGTGAAGAAGAGAGTGCTGGCAGGATGGAGTGGGTGGATACGAGTGTGAGGGGTGAAGGATAGTAGCAAGAGTGAAAGGCAAAGTTTACAAGATTGTTGTGAGATCTGTTCCAACGTATGTTTTGTAGATAGAAGCACCAAGCACGCACACCTTAAGGAGACTAAGTTGAAGATGCTGATTTTTGGGGGGACTGACCAGAATGGACAAGATTACAAATGTGAATATCAACGGGATAGCTCAGGTTGAGCAGTTTGGAGACAAAATTAGAGAAGCAAGGCTGAGATGGTTTGGACATATGCAGAGGAAGGACATTAGATATATGGAGCTGCCAGGCAGGAGGAAAAGAAAAAGGGCCTAGAGAAGATTCATGGACGTAGTGAAGGAGGATATGCAGAAGGTTGGTGTGATAGGAGGAGGATACTGGGGATAGGGTGAGATGGGGGCAGATATGGGAAGAAGAAAAAAAAATAGTAAAAAAGTAAAAGAACAAAATAACAGTAACACAGAAACACCAAGCTTAGATATCTTTATTTATTCTCTTTACAATAACTGAAACAAATCTTGGGAAAATGAATTCATATCACTGAGAAGGTCCACTAAAAACCGAAAGACAAAAATGTATCCCTGATAGCGGGGTCTCTGCTCAGACTGTACCCCATGTCCCTTCACCGAAGCCAGGAAAACAAAAAACAGCTCACATAGAAACTCACACTTCACAGCTGGCATCAGTTAAACCACATTCATTCACAAAGCTCCGACTGGGAGTACCAACACCCTTCATGCCCAATACCAACCGTCATACTGCCATTCCAGTAAGACTGGTTCTAGTAAGGCCAGTAGTTTACTGTCACTACTCGTATTCACCTACATTTTAATTCATTCATTCGTGGTTTAAACATCAAACAACTTGATATAAAAGCAAATATGAAACTACTGGCATTACACAAGTATGAAGAGTGTCAATCACCCTGCAGCACCAGTTTCTTCCCATTCGATATTTTATTTAATCACTTAGTGCATTGCTCAAGATTTCCTGAGAATAGTTGCAGCACAAAAAAAACAAAAACAAACCAAAACCTAAGGCAACTTCATCCCAATATATATATACATGTATATATTATATTTGACAATATCTGTACTAATATACAGGAGGAAGCATGTGGGTTTTAAAGAAGTATTCTCTAGTTGAATCACAATTTTTTAAATGGTAGTAAGTGAGTGAATGGAAAAGATTTTAAAGGATAATAAAAGAAAAAAAGCTTGAAGCTCCAAAATCTCTTAGTGCAAAACAAACTGGAAACAGAGAAAAGGTTTCACTACAAGGAAAAGAGCTGACAGTGCACACAAGGCCAGATCAGCGTGGCTGATACAGCGGGCTCTGAAAAATGCAGATTTCAATGAAAGTGAAAATAAAAACAAACGCTGTCACTTCAAGCAATTGATGGTTGCATCACACCCCGTGAAGGTTCTGCTTCAGGTAAAGGGCGATAAAAAGCTTTTGGTCAAAAACGAATGAACTGAAAAGACAACGGCCCCCTTTAGGCCGATCTGTAAGAACTGCCATGCAACAACATGTGATACAGTACCATACATGTTGAGTTAACAACTGAAGAGCGTGCTGAAAAGTCCGTTTACGAGGGAGGGTTTCAACCCCTGATACTGCTGTTCCCTTCTCTCTGGAATGTGCCTGTGTTATGGAACCTGGTGGGGTTAAATGTGCAAAGAATGCATTTGAGGATGAATGGCCAAAAAACAACAACAAAAACCCCCAAAACAAAGACACTGCCTGTAAAAAGGCTTTGAGGTGTATGGAGACCACAAGGAAAGATTTTTAGCATAATGCAGCTTGGATGAGGAGCGGATCAGATCTGTATCCAACCCTCTATTTGGTCTTACAAAAGAGTTTGAGCGGAAGAACCTTAATAAATATCAATAAATAAATAAATAGAGAAAGGGCGTGGGGGCACGTCGTCTTCGATCAAAGAACCCGAGTGAGTGCATTGGAAGACTTTAGTCCACAGCTTCTCGGGAGTGGGGGGGAGAATTGTCTTTACCATTTATCAGCATCAACTCATTGACCCAGACTTTGTCTCTTTTTGGTCAGGCATTTAACACAGAGCTCTGCAGCTCTTAAACACTCAAATATAGAAGCAGGTTTCTTTCTCATGGCTATCAAAACAGTTGGGAAGATTCTTGCCTTCAAACCCAACATTGGCTACAGTTCACCTCTCTCATCTCCTCTTAAGAAAACCTAAAATCTTTGGTTTATGCACCAAATCAAAGCTCACTCAACAACTAACAACAAAAAAAAGAAGAAGAAGGTAAGATTATTGCTTTCAATGCACAGAAAAAGTCTAATTACTTAGACTGCATTTCCACTGATAACCACCAGAGGACAGGGCACACAAACTCATTGTTGTGATCCAGCTGATATGACTCCTGAAGTGCACCTGAATCAACATATTTTGTAACTAAAATATACATCTTAAACTATCACTCCATGCCGCAGCCCTGGATTTTAGTTTGCATAGTAAAAAGCATCCCAGGAACCACACGCGCACACACACACTGACACACACCAGCTTCCAAAAATAAAATCAAGACATAAGAAAGAGCTCAAACCTAAAGTAAATGAAATTAAACGGCAAACAAGAAATACATTTTAAAAGAAAAATTCAATCAAATGCCAACAACCAGAAGACAAACATTTAAAATATCGCAGAAAACCCGTTTTGCAATTTTTCTTTTATTATATTTTTTCATTTAATCTTTGTTTTCTTAAGCGCTCTCTATCGGTGAGCAGCAGGTAATTAGTCCAGCCACCTGAGTGATCTTATTATTATAATTTTTTTATTGTGGATGTTTTACCACACACGCATACACACACACTTGATCAGTCAAACAGACGTTCTGTTTTCACTATTCCTCTTCTTCTGCCTCCTCGTCTCCCATTTCCTCTTCCATTTCCTCGGCCCACCGGTCGCGATGTGTAGCTGGCGAGCGGGTTCTTCCTGCATCTTCTCCCTCCGCCTCCCTGCCTGCTCGCATGTCCAGCCCTCGTAGGAAAAGCTCGGGGTAGCTGGCCAGCCTCTGAGACCCAAACTGGGCCAGAGCCTGAAGGGCGAGAGAGTGCTCCCTCTCGATGTCAACTGGAAATATTAGAGGACCGGCGCCGGAGCCACTTCCCCCTTCCAGCATTGTGCGGGGGATGAACGTAGAGGAGTGGGGCTGTAAAGACATAGCCTCCAGATGGTTGGACTGCTCCCTCCTGCCTCCGTCACCGATCTCATCCTCCACAAGCTCGGGCCCACGTCTGGGGCGACGCGTGCGTAACTCCAGGCAGCTGTGACCTTTGCGGTGACGCTGGAGGTGGTCCTCCCGGGCAAACGCCTTGTGGCAAAGCGGGCACTCGAAGGGCCGCGCCCCACTGTGGAGGGACAGGTGGTTTTTGAGGTCATAGGAATGCAGAAACCGAGCAGGGCAGTGGGGGCAGGGGTACGGGCGCTCGCCTGTGTGTTTCCTCATGTGGATCTTCAACTTATCATTGCTGATGAAAATAGAGCAGAAGACAAAATCATGAAGAGGTAGAAAGAGTTAAAAAAGATGAAAAAACCAACAACAACCGAGCACATTCTGATTATCGTAGTAAGAAGTTTCTGTACCGGGTAAAGCGGACTCCACAAGCACTGCACTGGAAGGGTTTCTCTCCAGTGTGCGTCCTCATGTGTCGTGGCAGTTTTCCTGCTCCGTGGATGATCTTCTGGCAGACAGGACATTGCTGTGGGGTCTGAGACTTCCTCTTTCTCCCCCCTCCCACTACTGAGGGGGCTGCACCACGATCAGCTACAGAGGTAGGCATGGAGGTGCTTCCCATCAGCATACCATCTTCGCCCAAACCCTCAATCTCTTCATCCCCTGACAGCTTGTCATTTAGGGGCGGTATGGGAGGTGGGTGGGCTATACGAGGGCGGTCTTGTAGCCAATAAGGGAGCCCTCCGTTTAGTGTAGCCCCTCTGCCAGGTTCTCTAATCTCTTTAGGATCTCCGTTCTGGCCAGGCGTGAGGCGAAGCTCGTGGCGTTCGGGGCTAGGAGGCTGAGTAGAAGGCAGAGAGCGGAAGCTGTCGGATGCAGGTGAAGGATGCGAGATGGGAGAAGCAGGCGGCGGGTTCAAAGGTGAGGAGTTGATGTTGTGATATGGCCCAATTTTTTTCACCTTTTTTCTGTCTGTTTTTCTTCTGGAGGCCTTCTCTATTACCCTCTCTCCCCCTACCATTCTATCAGTAGCTGTGTGCTGAACTCTCTGCTCCTCTGCTGCCTCCCCCTCGGCCTCTGCCGTCTCCCCCAGGATGTCTCTGCAGGCGTCAGCCACACACTGGATGCCCAGAAGCTGAGCCCCTCGCAGCACATCTCTCATCCCAGAGCTGGGGATCGTCAGAGTGGCAGTGTAGGCGAACTCCAGCAGGGCGTCCAAGGCGTCTGGTGCCACACAATCCAGCTGGCAAACGCTGAAACCTCCTCCGCCCTCGCCGCCCGCTTCTTCTGTACCAAACAGTCGGCGGAAGTACAGACTGACGGCAGCCATGACCGAGCGGTGCGTCGGGTAGCGTGCCCCGCGGGAAGTCAGGGTGAGGTCACACAGGAGCCCTGTCCTCCTCTGGTCATTGAGGTGGGACAACAGTTCATTGCTGTGCTCCGGGAAGGGAATCCCAATCAGCCCGTCCTCTCCTGGAGACATTGCCACCTACATGAAAGAAAGGTAATTCAATTTATGTGCGGAAGCAGAGGGGAGAGCAAATTACAGGCTCATTTTTTTTAAAGAAAGACAGGTTACTGCTGTGTAGTTTCTAAAAATAAGAGACCATCCATCACAGAGTCATACTTAAATCTCCCAAAAATAAATCTCGAAGTGTCACTGAGGCTAGGATTCCCCTTTCACCTGGCGTACAGTTTAAACGGGGATCAACAACAACAACAACAACAACAACTCTGCCTCATGATCCTCCTCGCCTCACTCTCCCTGTGCTTTTGATCCAGGTTACTAAATCAGGAGGTGGTGATTTTTGGTGGATGTCGAGAGGTCTGGGCATTTGAGAAAAAGTTCAAATGAAGGCAACTGAATGAGAGCTAAATGAAATACAAAAATCAAGAGGAAGCAGAAAAATAAAATCATGTGTGACACGGTGGAAATATAAAACAAAAACGACAGTGAAGATGAGGAAAGGACACAAGGTTATGTAATGTGCTGTAGGCGTCGTAACGAGAGGGCAGTAGGTTAATTCGTGTGAAACCCTTATAGCATTAGCTGATTGAAATAAAATACCAGGTAGAGAGGGGCTGATGGAAGAGAGAGAGAGAAGGAAAAAACCCAAGCAAGGGAGGAAGTGACAGGCTAGAGTGGGTGAAAGGGGGAGTACCAGTGAAAGAATGAGGAAGGGAAAAAAAAACAAAAAAACAGTAAGAGAATTATAAGCTTTAATAAAGACGAAAATAATCTGACGTCAAATACAAATTTTTAGAGTTGCAACAGGTCCATCGGTGACTCTCATAACGCGGTCTTTGTATTTTGTCTTTTAAAAGTGGCGTGAGGATATGTTAGAAACCAGTTTTTCGACAAGAAGTATGAGCGGTGGGTTGAACGTAAAATCCCGTAATGAACGTCAAGCAAGGACAATGACTTTCTTTATTTCGCTTTGTGAGATGTGACAGTAATAAGACCCAACAACTCCCTTCTTTGGATCCCTAAGCTCGCACCTCACCCTGTCCACACTGTACCTGGTCGACAATATCTCTTCACACACCTGAGCAGACCAGATTTTCCACAAACAACTCACGCTCCAGATTCCCCCTCCCTGCCCTTCGTCTCCCTCCCATAGCAACTGGCAGCCCCCTGGCCATCCAATAACAGTGTTCACACAGTGCCCAGAGGGCTCTGCTCAACAACAGTGAATCCACCTGACTAACCTGCTCCAAAACACACCCTATTAAACACACACGTGCATGCACAAGAGCACACAGGCACACACACACACATAGTACACATGAGCACTTGCACACATAGCGTGCCAATCTGTGGCTCCCCCCACCCACCATTGTTAGATTTAACCAGTTATGTGATGATCTTAACGACAGGCTATTTAAGTCACGCAGAAATGCACCCCACCCATTCAACAACGAGAAAAGAAAAGAAAAGTACAGGCAATTAATGAAATGCCTATCAAGAACCTGCCGGTACCTTTCTGCAAACTTTGTGGTCCTTTTGATTTCTCAAACCGTCTCTTTCTCGTGCGAAGGTGAGAGGACGAACCCACCCAGAGGTCGTAAATGTTAGTCCTACCTTCCCTTTCTTTATGGGCATGGGGACCGTCAGCTGGAGACGAGGCAGCGTCTGTCTCACGGCTTCCATCTTTTCGTTCTTCGCAAGTCTTCTCCTTCACTTTCCTCCTCGCTCTGTCTTTCTCTTTCAAAACCACTCTTTTTTTCCTATTTCCTCCTTCCTTCAGATGTGCAGACAACTTAAAAGGTCTGATCTCTTTGTCAGAAGTCGGGGTTAAGCGTTCATCCTTGGGGATGTCTACCTCGTTCGCACATTCTGTCACTCACTCTCCTTCCTGTCGTACCAAAAGAGGGTGCAGGGTGACGAAGACACATTGAGAGATACCCCTCCCCCCCCAAAGTCGCCTACGCGCCCCCTCTCTCCAAAACCCAACGGCCCATTTTCCGAACACTTTCCGATAAACATAATCTTCCTGCCGTCCCCTCCCTGTTCACAAGTACGAGGCCAACAGGTACGTGGATCGCAACGCGGCTAAGGTTATGGCATCGCTGCGGTTGCTGTGCATTAATACCCATCCGGCTTCAGACCATGCACATTAGTACAACTACTTTCGCAGGAAGGAAATAAGCACATGCAACCAAAACCATGTGAAATGTAAAAAAAAATAGAAGAAAAAAGTATTTTTTGGTAAAATCAAAGAACGCAAAAAAACGTGTAAGAACCAAAATCATATTGGCATTGTGAGTCATATTAAAACAGTGAGGTAGGTGCAATATGAGAGTTAAACCATATCACATTGCACCACTGAGACAAACTGGTGCAAAGTGCTCTTCCTTTGAAACTTAGGCGTGTTGAACGTCACTGGGTACTTGTCAGAAAATACCACCAAAGATTCTGTTACAAATATTTACTAATATTTCTGAAGCCAACGCACTTGTACAAAGAATTATCTCGCTGAACTTGAGGCATCAAGGACGACATGTAGGGCTAACTGCTGATATAGAAGAGTGAAGACGTTCAGACGGCCTTCTCAATTTTGTTTTTTGTTTATTTGGACACCTAACTTTTTCTTTTAAATTCACATTTCTCAGACTTGGAATATCAGACATTTTCAGATTATTACAAATGAGGGTTAGCCGCTTTTCCTCATCTTAGATTCCTGCAAACTGAATAAGTTTGACTTTTAGAGCATGTGCTGGACAAAGAAGGATAAAAATGTCCCTTTTGCAACATCCATTTTTCACAGTTTCCTGAAATTTTACAGACAATTCTGAATTTGTAAAATAACATAAAAAAAAAAACGTTTTAGGCCATCATAGAACAGATAATGAAGAGGAAAAAAAAGTGGAAACTAAGCAGATAGGATACTGGAGCAGAAAATTGTGTTCAAACAGCTCCATCACTGGTAATCACGCCATTAAAATCAGATTCTTTATTTTTATTTTTTTTTAAAAAAAACACAGAGCACACAGTGTAATATTTGGAAATGCTTCTCAGCAAGCAAAAAGTCACTCAAAAAACAGAAATTGAAGCCCTGCAGAAAAGCGAGAAACAAAGGGGTTTTGGTAGGAGCAAACAACGGTGCACATTAAATTTCCGGCACAGGGGAGAGAGAAAGAGAGAGAGAGACAGAGAAAAAAAAAAAAAAAAGAGCATCATGGGAGGTTGGTGGTTCAAGCTTGTTATTTTAGGCATATTCCTCAGAACACAGACGTATTCGGAAAATAATAAGATTGCATAGAAGTTTCAACGATTCCCATCAATTTTCTGTCTGCCTGTGAGTCACTTAATACTGACACATTATGACATGCACAGCCACAAACTACACACTCTTTGTGTCTCCCCCCCTTCTTGTTCCTTGTGACTTTGTTTCTGGTTGTTTTCGTCGCTTACGAAGGACATGTCTGCATAAGTTGCTGAATCTTGCAACACATTGTAACTAATGTTAAACCAGCCCACAGGCTGATACCACAAACGCATATTGTCATGCACTTGAAAGCTTCCAAGCAAGTGCTCAGCTATTAGCCTAACTCTTAATAACTGTCACTCTTAGTTTATTCATGTTAAACAGGACTTGTTACCTTAAAAGTCAAATAAGTGATAGGACTGTTTGCCTTTAGGCGTGTCTTTGAACGTCACTCTTACTCTCGCCAAAGCACACAAATAAAGTGAGCATGCAAAGTAGATAAAAGTCAAGTTTTTTAACCCATGGAATTTTGGATTGTGTTGATCTTCTGTACATTTAATGCGACAGATGTTATCTTTCCAACAATTGTATCTCATCTCTTTCTTAGTTTTTTTTGTTCTCACCTCCTACTCTTTGTCGACGGTGGAGGAATGTACCACCTCTGCAACTTTACGGTTTCCTCATCCCTTGCTTTCATTATGTGCACACTCTTCCTCTCTTTTAACAACAAAGATCTATTTGTTTATTTAAATATACAGATCACAACTTCAAATCATTTTTTGGATCTCCATCTAACTGCAAGGCCACTGGTCAAAAAACCTGCAGGTTATACGAAATGTTTTTTTTTTTTTTTTAAAAAGAAGAAGAAAGAAATCAAAGAAATGTGGAGGATCTGCCGTGGATTTGCTTTTACTGAAGAGGAAATGGAAACTTAAATCCACAGTTACTGTCCACCAGCTCAACAGAAAGAGAGAGCAGTTTGTGTGGAGGCCAGGAAAACGACAGCTGCAGGATTGACCAAACCTGCTCACAAAGATTTACTCTTCAGTATAAAAGCAGCTTATACTATCCATCGACTATATGCTGAAATCCCACTGCACACACAGAGAGCGTGTGGTAACTGGAACTAGAACTGTTGGTATTATTTTTATGGCTCCTATTTTCCGTTAAAGGCTGTAAGTTTTCCCAGTCCACCTCAATTATATCAGGCTCCAGCACTAAGGGGGAAAATATGACTTTATACTAGTCACAGAAAACTGTGGCTGAGAGAGAGAAGGAGAAAAGCTTTTATGAATTCTGATGTCAGATGTTTTCCAGAGTGGCCTGCTCGTGTGTGTGTGTGTGTGTGTGTGTGTGTGTCCGTCCATGTTGGTTAATATGAGCACTTGTGGTGTTGTGATGGCTTTCTCAGTACTCGCGCTAGCAGACGGACAAGTTTATGGATCGATTTTAGAGTTTTACAAAGTCGTTAGGTAAATCTAAATTGGATGAAAGGCTTAAGAAAAATTGTGCAACAGTTTTGAACGTGGCTATGTGCAAAACGTTTGTGCTGTTCAGTGACTCGACGGGAGCACACAGATGCGTTTCAGCGGCTCTGAATAAATTATTATAAAATGTCCTCGTTACAGACGGAGTTTCTGTATGAAATGAAATTCCTCCTACAGAGACACACGGTGACTAAGAAACAAACACGTGTACAAGTGTTTTCATTCATATAAAACCCCGTATTTAGCGCAAAGTTAATCCAAACCACAACAAAACAAATCATGATGCTAAACAA